AGGAACGTACTTTTAAGAGCTGGAATAATAAAGTCTAATCAGAACGAGTGGAAANGGGATTTGGAGAAACGATTGGCGACGTAACGCGGCTAAGAAACGGTAGGCAAGGCGGCAAACAAATTAACGGACGAGTCATTCGAGCGAGAACGATTACGATACGATCGTTCCGCTGGAGACACAGATGAAAAAAGACTAGAGAATTAAACTCATCAACTATGGATCAGAGCAAAAACGCGTTACTTACAGATCGTACGTATATAAACGGACGATGATAAAATGATACACGGCTACTGTGTGGACTCGAAACCGCGAGAAACACGAGCCTCGTGACACAAACTGGTGCAATTGCAATTCACGCAACTCTGCAACACGATTATACTGCGACCACGGATCCAATATCGCGGAAGAATTCTTCGATGTAATTTTAAACACGAATCTCGAAGGTGTATCGCGCGGAGAGAAGAAGGGAAAAAAAAAAAATGGCGACTACAAGCAAGGATTTTCGCGCGTCCTACTCACGAAGTCGAGTCCACGTAATTTCTATAAAGGCATGACTACGCAGCGAGAGCAGTGACGGCGTAGTTAACGACGTGGGCCGTGGTCGATCGTGCAATTAACTTTAACGAACGGCGGCCTTGCGATTAAACTTAATTAGTATCGCGGTAATAACTCGTTAATAATCAGAGCGGTGTAGCGCGTCGCGGCCATAACACGCTCATATTCTTCGTGCACGTGTGTGCACGTGCGCTCGAGACGCGATTTTAGAGCATGCATGTGTTCCATTTTCGTTTCTCTCTTTTCTTTATCTGTTTTATATATTTACGTGACTATACGTGGACCAAGGGAAGAAAGACACGACGAGAGATGTTTAAGGATGGACGTTTGAATCGGCGGAAAAGGCTCCCTCCTCCTTCCTCCTTTTTTTTAACGACGACGCTCACGACGTGAAGGCGTGTACATAGCGAACCAGCACAATCATCACCAACAATCAACGAATTGCTAACGTAAGAAAATCATCACGTATGAAATTTATCAATTCACTGGCCGTGTCCGTTGGCGGCACATTTTCCTTCCGAGCTTTTGGCCAGGGATATCGTGTACTTCGTGCGTATTTGTGTCTTCAACGATGGAACACAAAAATCGTACAACACCACCAATAGGATCCAAGTTTTCGATCGGTTCTCTTCGTGTTCCCGTTTCTCGTTTCACTTACAGACAAAGGATTATCGTTGGTTGCCAGCAAAACACATCGAGACAGCCACCATTGAGGAACTCGGGACTGAATATAAACAGACAGAGAGAAGAAAACGTTCGGAGTGTAGAACCGGCACTGACTGAATGATCGACTGACTGACTGAATGGCCGACTGGTTGACTGGCAGCGAGACGCGCGCTCTTCTCTGTTGCGAGTCTACACCGGCGAGCCACTGCGTTCCTTCTTCTTCCTTTCCGTGTGTGTTTAACAGGCTTTCCCTCACACTCGTTAGTCCTTCGTATCCCCCGGATAGACAAACGTAGCCTTCGACAAGCCTTTCCGGCTTTTCCACACGACGATACGAAATATGTATAAACTAAAGATTCCCGAGAGAATAGCGTCTCTGTCAGCCGCGTATCTATCGGACAAATAAACAAGAGGGACGCGCGAGCGACGAGATTACGATCCGCCGTGGAAAAGAACGGGTAAACCGAGAAAAGAGAACAAAAAAATATAGAAAAATAGAGCGCGCGAGACGTGCTCCGTTCTATCCCGGACTGTACTTAGTCAAACGTAGCTGACGAACAAACGTAAAAACGTGCACTACCGTCTCTCTCTCCCGGTTGCGACGAGCGAGGCGGTTAGAAACATCGAGCACGAACCTGATTGCGGGGCGGCGCACCGAATTATGGGCCGCTATGCGCTTTCGGCGGCCTCTCGCTCCCTCTCCACCATCTAACTCTCTCCTGCTCTCGCTATCGGCTTCCCTCTCGCGCTACCCGGTATTCCATCCCCACCATCGGCTGTTGACTTGCCCCCACCACATCTCCCCGAACCTCTCTGCTCGTGCTAGACGACTCACTCCCACCAGAAACTCGAACACGCTTCTAGAGTCCGCTCTATACATACACGTTCCCCTACCAGCGTTGTATTGTTGGCGCGAGCGGTAGCATTGCCCCTTTGCGCCTGACTACGAACCTCTCTCGCGCGAGAGCAACGTTGCCACCTTACGGCGTAGCCGCGGGGATGATGAACGTGGTCGGCTGAAAAGAGTGTAGCATCGTCGCCGCGCGGTGACTCGCGCCGATACGAGGCCGACAACTGGCTCGCTCGGTACACGCGTTGTCACGGATGATGGAGGAACGCCACTTCCGACCGGAAGTCACCACGCTCCTGCTCTTGTCATCAGACAGACGATCCTTTGTCGCGGTTGATCGATGATTGGATAACGCGCTAGAACAGGTAGCGGAAAAGGGTTATTTTTTTTGAGAGAGAAAGGAGGAGGAGCGCGAAAGGGGAAAGTTCGAGGGATGCTTCTACATTTGGAGGGAAAACTTCTTTTTTTTTGTGTGGTATAGGGTGTCTAGGTATCAAGGGTATGTTAGAAGGAAGCTTGTTGGTTTCTTTAGAGATTTATGGAATGGAATTTTCGTGGGCTTCGTTTCGTGGACTGTATTTCGCTAGCAGTCTTTCGTTATCAGAGATATCAATGAAGACGTTCGTTTAAACTCTGATTAATTAATTATTCCACTACCCCAATGATGGGAATGATGATTTCTTTAATTCCACTGTGATGTCAATCGTTGTGTATAAAAGTTTAAAGAATCATAAACGAGCACTTCGTCTTTAAACGACCAATTTAAACAATTATCGTAGAGAAAGACGATGTTCTGATTCCAGCCACCAGCATGCAGCACTGCATAGGTATTCACGCTGTTACCATTCAATTCGTAGTACTTTATTTTACGATCAATAACGTTTTATTAGAACGTGGCTATTTGTTTGAAATAGAATTCTATCTTCATCGAAAGTTGAAGTTGGGATAAACTCGAGTGTTATCACTGCAGGTCGGTAAGAGAAACAAAATCACGGGATGAAATCATGAGGGGAGTGTTTCTCTCGTAGAAAACTGTAGATCTGCGTTTCTTCTTTTGCAAGTGTACTTACTTTCATGACACTTCTTCTACCCTCCGGCAGATGTCGGGACTATCGATCGAAGGGGGTGGTTTTATTCCTTTTCGACGCGATAAACTTCGAATACCGAAGAATTAGATACGATCGAGTGAAACTTGGCATCTCGTTGTCATCGATTATTTACGAACATAGATTCTATGTATGAATCTATTTAACTAATTACAACAATCAATAATTGTATTAATTTTCACTCAACTCAGACCGTTGCATTAAGCGTAAGTTAATTACATATAATTAAACGAAAACGGTGCTTTTAATGACTATTTCACGACAAACTCAGCTTAACAACGCATAGTCATTTGGAAATAGATTACACGAGTGCAACGAGAGTCAATTGCAATAACGATGTTTGTAATGCAATTTATTTTAATCGTCAGTTCTTACGTTACTCGACAACGCTACTTCTAAATTGAAACTTAAAACACGCCACAAAAGCGACGTTTAACGAAAGTTCATCGTTAATTCATCGTACGATACGAAAGTCTCTTCCAGCGATATGATTATCCATCGATGAAGCATCATCGAAATCATCGTCCTCCTGTTTCTCTGTACACCACATTTGTAATTCAAATGATGAAAAGAAACAATAAGAGAAATTGAATGGAACTGCAGGAGATATCGAATATATTCTTCTTCCATAACCAATCATCTATCTCCTCTCACGAATTTACTTATTTATTTATATAAATAGACGATATAAATCTTCAACAATTCCTAAAAAATTAAAATTCATCAATCGAATCTCGATATCCATATTATACCGCAGGAATATCCATATACAAGGCTATCAGGCGTTACTGTTACAATGAATGCGGTTCAAAGCAAGGTCATCCCTTGACACTTACACCCTGCGATCCCAGAAGATCGCCAGCTCATCTCATCGAACGGCTCTCCTCCCAACTTCCACCAAATCATTTCCAACTTTCACCCACCAATCCGATCGAGCCAATCTCTATCGCCGATACAAGGTGAGATTAAGAAAAAGAAAAGGATCGGAAACGCAACCACGTGTCGAGCAACCCTCACGCCAGTGGAGAAAGGCGCGTGTTGACGCGCCGCAGCGTAGCTCGCGTGCGCTGGCGCATGCGATCGATACTTTAGACAGCCGGGGTTTTCACGTCCCCGCGCGACGTCACGATACAAGAGCCGAGCAAGACCGACTAAGGACGAGGCCGACCGAGACCGGCCGAGGTAGCGCGAGCCGCGGTAGCAG